GTTTATTTTTAGGCATTCCAGGTTCCAAGTTCCTAAGTTCTGTACAAAATTACAATACCCTGGGCCGGCAAGGGCATACAAAAAAAAAGTGAAACAATAGAGAGGAAAAACGAATATAAATTCATTGTTTCGCACAATATGAACATCGGGTGGGGGGGTCCAGTGGGTCTAACACATCGCCAGTCCCTCTCCCAGGCACTCCTTTCTCCCCCCCCTGCACTCCCTTTGGCCGTAACAATAATGGCTACAACAAAAAGCAGAAAACTGAAATGTAACTCAATTGTAATGCAAGGTCTTACCCGCTCATCCGTGCTCTCTGGGCTCTCCCACTCTCTGCAGCACCCCCTCTCTCACCCTCTCTCCCCCTCCGACATACTCCTACTCTCTACTCTCCCTCCAACCTTCCACCTGCTGCTTAATTTACATGTTTTTTCGGGTTACTTTATATAGGAAAAGCCCCCCCTGGCTCTTTGGCTCTTCACATACTTTGCATATCAGCACCCACACTCGCCCCACCACCCACCCCTCCTAAAACAATCCTCCCTCTCACACTCCAGAGAATCTGTGGACTTCTATGCGATTTTCGTTTCATTAAGTTCCTTCGCTCGCTTTTGGTTTTGTTTTTGTTTTTCTCTGTGTGTTTCTGGCTTTCATTTTGGGCTAAAAATGTCAGGGAAATGACTTGCAATGATATTATAATGAGTTTAACTGGCGGTTTGACATCGTGGGAGTACAAAACGGGTCCAGTATGTTTGAAGTTTAAGCAGGAGAAGGGCTTTCATACCCATTTCAAGGGAGTACAATCGGTGTAGAGCCAGTAGCCTCTTGGCAGACAGTTGTCTTTCATAGAACATCATAGTTTTTGTTGAAGAAACGTGGGTGTTCTTTGGGATCCATAGATTTACCTATTTCCAACACTTTTTGAGGGACATAACACTCAATGGCACTCGACATAGATGGTATTTCCCTTAAAATCCCAGACTCTTTTCAGGTAATACGATGGCCAAACAAGTTCTGGAATCTTTAGAAGATTCCTTAGTAGGAATCTCTCTCCAAACCCTAGAACGAACCCAGTGAAAGCCTTGTCGTTCTCTATTTTGATTCCCCTAAAGGACTCCCCTTTGAAATATTGCCCCTTGAAGCCCTTTGGGGAAAATTTAAGAACTGCAAAATACGAAATGCGAAATGCAAGCCGAAAAATTGAAAGGAAACCGCAAAATTGTCTTAGTTTGTTGCCTGCCCTGCTGTGTGATGCTGTTTGGATGCTGTGTGTGTGAATGCAATGCTGTTGATGCTGCTGTTAACACATATGGAAAATGGAGTTGCAAGAAGAAAAGCTGCTGCTGCTGCTGAGAGGAGTGGCAGGAATATGGCAAAAACCAAGGAGATGTGCCAGTGCCAGTGGCAGTGGCAGGCGACAGGGGAGTGAGAGGCAGGAGGCAAAGAGGCAGGAGGCACGAGGCAGGCAGTCAGACGCCTGTTTGTTTTTGCCGTCTGCTTGGATGCTATTCCGGCTGCTTTTCCGGGGCTTTACACGCCGTACTCTCTGGGTCCGGAGAACTACATCCTGCCACCCTCATGGCCCCCCACCCCGCCCCCGCTCTGACCATTACACATTACGTGTAATCATCATTTTGTGCTGGCAATAAACACATGCTGTCTGCGCTCTCACCAACTGCGGGAGTACCAAGGAGTACCCCCCCGCAATCATGCCACCCCGCCCCCACCCATTGGTCACACATACTACAATAAAACATGAAATTTACAATTTCCAGAGCGTTGCGCACTGAACACACACACTTTATTGCATGCGATATTTTTATTGCATGCAAAATGCACAGCTTAAGGAAAAGAGGGGCGAAAAAAACACGGAAAATTGAAGGAAAAAATTGGCAAAGGAAGGCAGGACTAAAAGTAAATGTCGAATGACTAAGGAAATGCCCTGAAGAAAACTTCGAAAAGGTGTTGCACAAAAGAAAAGCTGCGTGCACTCCAGATGGTCTTTGAATGCCTGACTGCCTCACTGAATAAAAAAGTGAATCATTTGTGCCCAAGGAAAACCCCAATAGACCAAATATGTATTCGGATTTACCAGTGGACGCCGCTATCCGTCACGTCATTACAAAACTATTCAAAAAGAACAACAACAGAAAAGAGCCACTGATTAAACGATAAAGAAAAACATTTGTTGATAAAAATAACACCTTAAAAATTCATGTTTTTCCAGAAAGAAATGTTTTGTTCTTAGGCAGGTTTTGCGTTAAAAAACAGATTTTTGTGCAGCCTTCGGAGAACATATTTTTAAAAGATTAAAATATCTACGGTTTGGTGTTTTTTTTTTGTATTTTTATTAGTATTATTTTTTTATAAATTTGGTAATTTATTTTATTGGATTGCAAAATTATTTGTAATAATTGTATTTGTTGATAGATATTTGAAAAATTAAATTTTTCAATCAGAGAAAAAGCTATGAAATTTACATATTTAAAAATTAAATTATTTAAAGCAGGGAAATTATCAAATTAATGGGTTTTTTTTTACTTTTTTTATCATTAATATGCAAATATTATATCGAAAAATATTTTATAAATTAAATAAATATAATTCGTATTTAAATTAAAAATATGGGCCATACTAAAAAATTCTTTTTAATAAATTTATATTTAAATCAAGGTAAATTATATTTATTTTCTTTAGTTTTGTATTTAAAATCCGAATATTTAATGTAAATTGATTGTTTTTACTTTTCAAAATAGTCTTTCATATTTCCTTTTAATCTGTTTGACATTTAAATTCTGATCAAACCCTTTCCAAAAGTCCCGAAGACCCCTTTTTGCCAATTGGATAGAGTATTTATGCTTTATTTCTATGCGTTGTGCCCTGCCTCGCACCTGCTGCCCTCCCTACGAGTGGCGTACACAACATTTTGGCCCAAAGCCTATTGAATGTGTGCTTTGATTAAATTTAAAATGTTTGATAATACTATTTGCTGCTGGAACACAGACGAAAGGGGTTCGTTCGGGAGGAGGCACAGGGGGGGGGGGTGGTCTGCAGTGGGTAATAGTGCAGAAGTAAATACATTAAAGGCCAATGAATAGTAGCTGGATCGAGTGGCTCCTGTATGTCCTTAAAGGCCCCCTGGGGACAGTGCTACAATGATGCAGAAGAAGTGGTGTCCTTGGGTAATGCTAGGGGGTACAATGGTAACTACCCTAGAAATTAATGAAGAGAACTATCAATAGCTAGAGATACAGATAGATGTTTGTTTATGGCCTAGAATCTTTGAGAGTTCTTGTAAAATTAGCCACTCTACATACAAGACTCCTAGGAGTACAAAGACTCCCTTTTGAACCTAGACTTCCCAGAGTTTTTCTCGAAAAATCCACCAAAGATTTACCCCTATATCTGTGACTTCCTCCTTCAGTCTGCCACAACTGCCTAGTCCTCCAAAAAGGATGATAAAACCCCAAAAAACAGTGCTCTGAATCGCGTCAAATCTTCTACCCTTTTTTGAAAGCCCAAGGACCCTAGTCCTTTGCCTTCAGAGACTGGGGGTAATAGATTCCATCTATAGACATTCCATACATAAATATCGAGTATTCAATTTCCTCTTTTTCGAGCCACTGCAAACCACTGTATTGTTTTTCGACATAAATCGATTCGATTCGTTTCGTTACGATTGTGGACATTAAATTTACATCATTCTAATCATTGTGGGTCAGGTGGTGCCTCCTGTCCGCTGTCCTCTCTGCCTCTCCGTCTCTCTATTCAGATCTGGGACAATGGCAAACAGCGGGCGGGCGGCTTTCAATATTTGCGGCTAGCAAAACCCCGGAACCAGCCAGCAGAACGAGGAGCCACTGTGCCAAAGATTTTCTCCGCTCCTCCTCTGACACCCCCCCGCCCCGACTGCTCTGTGTGCCCGTTGCATACAGCAGCATACAGCAGGCAAACAAAAGGCACAAGGCAGAACGAGATGGGGAGAGATTATCAAACGACAAATAGACAGAAATCCGGCAGCAGGCAGCAGGCAGAGGCAGAGGCAGAGCCAGCTTTGGCGACAGGCCGAAAGCAAACTTGGCCAAAACGACAGGCAACAACAATAATGGGAACAACAACAACAACACAAACAACAAACATCTGCAATACACCAGAGACCAACAAATTCAAATCAAACTTACAGGCAGAGCAACAACAAAACACAAGAGCAAATCAAGAACGGAACGGAATGACCCTCTAATACGAGTGGGAGAGTATACGACTATGGGAATACCCCCTAGATGTGTCCCCTGAACACTCGGACAATTGGTATTTAAGGAATAGAAGGGGAATCATCCTTGGACTGCTGCAAAAATCCACAATCGAAATGGAAAACAATGTTCTACGAGCCCAGAATATTTTCTATACAAAATACTCAAGGAACTTAAATATCCCTGCTATAAATATTGAAATATTACCCACAGTTTGTTTCCTTATCCTTTTTTATGCATTATATATTTTTTAATAAAATTTCCTGTCTCCAAAATTCTTTATACCACAAATTGTACCATTTCCCGCCCACTATTTTCAAAAACCCACTTTCTTTTCTCCCCCTATCATAGATCCCGTGATTAACTTCCCGAAAACCCCCCACCAAACCCCCTTCAAGTTACAGGGTACCCCGAAAAAGACTGTCCTAAGCACAGCAATCGCTTGGCAACATTTCCCACTCCTACCGCGGCAACATCTCCGCAGAGCTACACCAAAATGTTGCTAGCTTAGTGCGCATGTTGCCAAGCGGCCGGCCAAATGTTGCCAATGCAGCGCAGTCGGCGTCGCGGCGACTGCATATGTAAAAACGCATACAGGCAGCCCTGCTGTTCGCACCCGATGTTGCTACACATTCGTGCCGCCGTGTGTGTGTGTGCAGCTGGGGCTGTGTGTGTAAGCCGGGGCTGCCGTGGCCCGTCGTTTGGCAACTTCATTCTGAGGCAGCGTCACATTCAACGGTTAACTGTTGCATTCAACGTATCGTTCGCCTCGGCTCTTCGACAATTTTCCCACCCGTACCGAACATTTACGCGCCTCTCTCTGGTCGTCTCGTGCCGTTCGGTTCGCGTCGTGTTTCGTACGTACGCCCTCGCCTCGTCTCGCCTCGCCTCGCCACGCTTGGAGCTTCGTGTTTCGCAAGATACGAGCGTATTGTAATATCATCATCATCGTCGTCGCTGTGCACGCGTGTGTGTGCGTGCGTGTGTGTGTGTGTGCCGAAGGCGTTTTCGTCGTCATCAAATCCATAACGTCATTTCGTTTGTTGCCGCTCAAACGGTGAGTGGAGGCGTCCGTGAGTCGATTCGAGCCACCAAGTCGTGTGCGTGTACTTCTGTCCATCACTGTAGCCATCTCGAGCGCGTGCAAAAGGTGTGTGTGTGTGTTAACGTCTTTGAATCACTGTTAAGGTGTTTAACTTCTGGCGGGGTGTGTGCGTGTGCTATTGCCCCTCACTGTGACTACTCTCCCGCACTTTTATTGTACTTCTGTCGCTGGCCATCAGCTTACTGTACTATTTCGACCCTTAAAAAGCATCAAAGACCCCTTTGGCTTCCTGCGATCCATTCAGCGTGGGTGTGTGTACTTTTGAACCTCAGTGTGTGTGTGTGTGTGGGTGTGTTTGTGTGCCAAAAACCCATAAAAAACCGCCTCCAAAATATGTGAAGTGAAATCATTTTCCCTAGCTTCTGTGTTGACAGTGCGCGCTAAAAGTATATTTACACACACGCACACGCACACACACACACACATAAAAAATCCATATAGTACAGAGCCTCAGCGGCCGTAAAGTGCCAGCGAAAGAGAAGTACACTCCTCAAAGCCCCAAAAGTACGCCTCCGCCTCCGCCCCACCGCCCCCTCAAAACGACACATTTTATGCATGAAAAAAGCTTAAGCGAATGCAGTAACAACAACAACCAACCAAAAAAATCTCTCCCTTTCTCTCCCAAAAAAAAAAAAAAAGAAAAGAAAAAGCCCTTTCCGTAACGGAACCTCGAAAGCAAACGTCAAGAGAAAATAAAACCTGGGATTACAGCGCAAATAAGAAAGGAAGGAAGGAAGGAAGGAAGCCCAACAAACATCATGTCACGGATCGTTTTTGTATTATTCGCGGCCATCTTAACAGGTAAGAAATACTCGAAATAATAGCGGAACAGAGAAAAACACGCTAAGACCCGCTCATCAGATGATATCACGCGCCCGTTTAAGACCCCGCGAACAAACTTGTTCTCACCTTAAGCCCCGGCCAGACCAGGGGCTAAAAGAGTGCTAAACAAATACCCACATATCGCATCGGGCTTGATTGATGAGACATCCATCAGAGCTGCAGGAGAAAGTGTTTCATCCATGAAATATCCATGATATTCGCCGGCTTGACCCCTTTTTAAGCGACTGCGCATGCTCAGAGTCTCGGCGTTGCCTCCTAGTGTGACCTTTATTTTCGGTACAGCCACAGCCACAGCCACAGCCAGTGGCCTTTTTGGCATGCGCCGACGAAAAAGGTCAAGCGATTCGTTTCGAAAGGAGTCGAACAAGTCCGGTGTTCGAACAGATCTTCAAGAGACTTCTTGTAACCATTTTAATGGGCTTACAAAACGAATTTGATTGGTTTTCTACGAGCATAAAACGAATGATTAGCCCCCCCCCCCCTCGCCCCCTCTTTTATGTGGTTTTAATGGGGAGGCAAAATATATATATTAGAGGCATTCTTTTGTGCCGTCTTGTATCTGAATGGCGGGTGCTTATGACATTATGCATCCTTGAAATTAAGACCCAAGGCAACAATCATCCACTTCGAGCTCTTACTTTCATCTCTCCCTCTCTCTCTCTGTCTCCCTCTGTCTCTCTCTGTCTCCTGTGTCTCTCTCTGTCTCTCTCTGTGTCCTCTGTCTCTAGAAATTCTATGACACGCTTCCAGAGCGTATGAGAAGCCCTGGCAGCCTATTTAATTAAAATCCTTCAATGTTTCATGCCTCTACTTATTATTTTTGTAACCCGCTGCCGTTGCTGCTCCTCTTATTACGCCACAGAAACTCCAAGAAGGGCGGGGAGGGAGGTAGTCTGGGCTCTGGGAAAACTGAGACAGATTTCTCATTAGCCTGAAAAGAAGATGCTGGTTTATGCTAAAGCCTAACAACATTAACAGCACAACACAACACACGCGGCAGGGGCGGGGACGGCCCCATCCCCCTCCCCCCCCCACCCACACCATGTGACTTTAAGACACAGAGAAACATTTCATTCAGCAGTCGCTAAGCCTCTCAGAACTCCAACTCGAACTCGAACTCTCTCGGCAGCGACCTTTCAAAAGGTTTTCGGTAAAAATGCAAATGCAAAAAACTGCACAAAAAACCCAAAAAAAGAGGGGAAGAAGGCAGCCTCCCCATTCGGTGGGGGGCGGGGCGGGGTGGGGCACTTCACACTGAATACTTTTACATTTTTATGGGCCCTGACGCATCGCCATCGTCTGTCTGCCTGGATGTCTGCCTGTCTGTCTGTTGTCTTGCAATTATAAATTTTTAATGCGGCAACTGGTTGAGATTCTGTGTTGGGAAAGGTTCCGGCCAGAATTTGAGGGATTTTTGTACAGTAGAAAAATCACAGATCGGGTTTAAGGGGGAAGGATACATATATCGAGGGCTTGCCAAAGTAGTTTCCCTTCCCTACCATCCGTAGCCACAATTCTTAACAAAACCGAAGCCCCACTTGCTTTTAGATGCCATCCATTCAATGGCCATAATACTCTGCCACATGCCGCATGTGCAGCATGTAAATAAGGCAGGCAACGCATCCCAAAAAAAAAAAGAAAAAAACCATTCACAGTAATTCAAATGGAAGCCAAAAGGAGCTCCGCTGCGAATGCGAATGGGAATGCAAGTCCTGAAGTATTTAGCCATGACTGCGGCATCATCTTCTCGGAGGACAACGAGGACAAAAACGGTTCCACATTTATGCATTTTAATGGCCACCAATTGAGGCATGTTCTGGGGAACGAGAGTCAAGCATTGAATTAAATACGTGCTGTGTTTGCCTGCCCCCAGCCCCTGCCCCATGCCCCATGCCCCCTACCCACCGACTGTAACTGCAATTGTGACTGTATCTGTATCTACTTTTTGGCAATCTCCCCCCCCCCGCCACCCCCCGCCACTCGTACACCCATATATAATTTTCAACTCTTTTTTGTACCTATGGTATGGCGCATGGGGGGGGGGGGGGGGAGTGGCATACAGAAAAGAGTAGCATGTAGGGAGCAGCACCCACTGTCCTCTCATTCTCATTCATATTCATAACATCGTTTCATTTTGGCTTTTTGCTTCGCTACCTTTTTGGTCAGCGCAAAAAAAAACTAAAGAGAGAGAGTCAGAAGAGCGCAGTTTGGTCATCAAAAAAGGACACAGAGGGAGGGAGGGGGAGTAGTGCATTTTGGTCATTAAAAAAGGGAGAAATAGTAGAACATTTTGGTCATCAAAAAAATGAGAACGAGTAGCGACTTTTGGTCAACAAAAATTGTAGAAAAAGAAGCACCTTTTGGACTATATAGAAATATAGAAAATATAGAAAAAGATGCATCTTTTGGTGATCAAAAATAGAAAAAAAGAAGATCGTTTTTACCATTAATAACGTAGAATGAGAAGCGACTTTAGGTCATCAAAAATATAGAAAATGAAGCGCCGTTTGGCCATCAAAACTGTAGAAAAAGAAACACCTTTTGGTCAACAAAAACAAGAGAAAGAATATCCAGTTTCGGCTGCCAAAAATTTAGAAAAAGAAGCGCCTTTTGAAGATCAAAAATATAGAAAAAAAAGCATCATTTGGTGATAAAAAATATAGAAAAAAGAAGCGCGTTTTGTATTCAAAAATAAGAGAAAGATTAGCACCTTTTGGTCAACGAAAATGTAGAAAAAGAAGATCGTTTTTACCATTAATAACGTAGAACGAGAAGCGCGTTTTTGTGTTCAAAAATATAGAAAATGAAGCGCAAAATGTAGAAACAGAAGCGTCTTTTGGTGCTCAAAAATGAGAGAAAGATTAGCACCTTTTGGAGATCAAAAATGTAGAAAAAAAAGCGACTTTTGGAGATAAAAAATATAGAAAAAAGAAGCGACTTTTGGAGATAAAAAATATAGAAAAAAGAAACGCCTTTTGGGTGATCACAAATGTAGGAAACGAAGCCCCTTTTGGCCATAAAAAAAAGGAGAAAGAGTAGCGTCTTCTGGTCAATAAAAATGTAGAAAAAGGAGCGCCTTTTGGGATCAAAAAGTAAAAGAAAGAGTAACGCCTTTTGGCGGAAAGAGTAGTGCCTTTTGGCCATCAAATATGAAGCAATAGCCCACCACTTGATGCTGTAACTGAAACAGGAACATGACCAAAGGACACAAAAGCTGTGGGGGGAGGTGGGGGGCAAATAATTCCAAAAATGAAGACCAGCTTTCGAGTATCGCCCCCAAAAACTAACGAAGGAACAGCAGCAGCAGCGGGAGTGGGAGTGGGGGGGTGTGGGGAGCCATTTCCTTCCTCTTTCCTTAGTTTTCCTTCTTAGTTTTCCTTTGTCTTCCGCTTCCTAATTGTTTGCTGAAATATTGGGGCCCCTCCTCCGCCTCCCCCCTGTTGCCTGCTCTGGCCATTGCTTCCTTAATTTATTGATTATTTGTGTGTTTGAAATTAGTTTGTTTTTTTTTTGCTTTTACGCTTTTCATTTAAGTTTTTGGCATTTTTGGAATTTTTTTCGTACATTTTCTATATTGATGATGGCTTCATTAATTAGTTGGCTATAATTATGAGGCAAAACAGAAAGCCTTTGATGGATATACTAGTGTATTTTGGAGAGATATCGGGGGCATCCAAAGCTTCTAAAACTGTGAAAAACTATAGGATGCTTAATGGCATTAATCACAGTCTCTATATGGCTTTTATTTACATCAAATTTTGATATAATTTACTTCAAATCATGCAAAATCCTCCACCGCTGCTAAGCCACACTGCGATAGAGAGATATGGAGTTAGAGCGCATTGCAATCAAGTGGAAATCCTTCCTCCATCCCCCCCACAGAGCCTTCACTGTAAATAATATGCAGACTCCCTTTATAATATACGAGTATATAGTTTTTGGTGCGACAAATAGAAATGCACAATTTCATGACTAATTTGCTGAAAAATGACTGAACAATGTCAACAAAACACACAACTTTTGCATGCATCCTTTGCATCCTTTGGATCGTCCTGTGGGTCTGCCAGTCCCTCCGTCCGTCCCTCTGTCCCTCGGTCGGTGGCTGTTTGTCTGAATATGTTGTTGCGCGTGCACAGGAAGTTGGCAACGCTTTGGGGCATGTTGGAATTTTCGGGTATCCAAAGAGAGAGAGGGAGAGTGGCGGCTGGGGGGGTAGTGCGATATTGACAAAGCGTATGCCAGGCAAATTAAATATAATGGGGATCTACCCTATTTATACTGCCCCTCTGCCGCTGGCTCTCCGCTGCCCCTCTTTTCGGAAAACCCGCTGAAAAGTAGCTCACAGAAACAGAGAGAGAGAGGGAGCCGAAAACAGTTGAAAAGACAATAAAAGAAATGAAAAGGAAAAAGTTGCAGCTTATGGAAAAGTTGCTCGTGTTTCCCCACTTGTTGTTGTGTTGTTTTGTTGCTTTTTTTCGGGTGGTGCGGGGAAGGGGGGCTGCCCCGTCGCACAATGGGGGCTAAAGCACAAGTTTTTGATCGATTCGAAGGCACTGAATTGTCTTTATAAGCACGTTCGTACGTACCCATCGTTCCAGGAAGCGTGTGCGTGTGCAGACTTTGGTCCGAAGAGGCTTTCGAGGGGGCGGCAGGACAGGTACAGTCTCAAGAGTGCACAAATAGAGCACAAGCCCCGGCATAGGGGCTTAGTGAAAGGAAAACATATGTTTTGTGACACACAAAACGATTTCAAGTAGAAAAAGTAACTATTTTCGAACTATTTGGAAATTTAAAAAATTAGGAATACATTTTGAAGCTGTGAGTTTTCTAGGGAAACTCTTTTTGTTCTAAGAAATATATTTTATTGTGGGCACAAAGTCCCAGGGCGAAGTGCCAGCCAACCGATGGGTGCTGCTGCATGACGCAACTTCGCTTAGAGCTTTTGAGCAAAGAATGAA